ATCCTCTTCTCCCGTTATAAAACCCGCGTTACTAACCAAAAACCTCTCAAAAAAAACACTCGCCATAGCTCCAGACAGCACAATCAGAACCAGACTTTGAACAAGAGAACAGGGAGAAAAAAGGAAGAAAACCAACTTAGCAGGCACAGACTTCTTGAATCTGCAACTGCCATGGCGTTGTGCGAAGCACTGAATGAGAAGTACCAGCTTTGCGAGGAGATTGGCCGAGGGCGATTCGGCACTGTCTCCCGTTGCTTTTGTCCGATCTCCAATGAATTCTTCGCCTGCAAGATAATCGACAAGCGGGTCTTGACCGACCCGATTGACCGAGAATGTCTTGAGAATGAGCCCAAGATCATGGCTCTTCTCACTCCGCACCCTAACATCGTTCAAATCCACGACATGTACGATACCGATGATGCACTTTTCATCGTCATGGACCTTTGTGACCCTGTAACTATCTTCGATCGTGTCGCCGCCGCCGGCCCCCTGTGCGAGGCGGAATCATCGATGTACATGAAGCAGATCCTTCAGGCCGTCGCTCACTGTCACCGATACGGCGTCGTTCACCGCGACGTCAAGCCTGATAATGTGTTGCTCGATTTCAGAGGCGGCAGTGTACGGCTCTGCGACTTTGGTTCTGCCGATTGGCTCGGCGTGAGTGGCGAGCGCCGGCTGACAGGACTCGTAGGCACGCCGTATTATGTAGCTCCGGAGGTAGTAATGGGGAGAGAGTATGACGAGAAGGTGGATGTGTGGAGCGCTGGTGTCGTTTTATACACAATGTTGGCCGGGATCCCGCCGTTTTACGGCGATACAGCGGGCGAGATCTTCGAGGCGGTTCTCAGGGGAAACCTCCGGTTTCCTCCTAAACTTTTCCGGTCGGTTTCTGCTGAAGCCAAGGATTTGCTGAGGAAGATGATTTGCAAGGATGCATCCAGACGATTATCTGCAGAACAAGCTCTAAGTGAGTCTTCTTCTTCACTTCTTCCTTCTTGTTTTTACTTTCTGGGTTTTCAATTTTATTTTCTTTACTCCTGAATCGTTGATTGATTTTAAGATTATGATTATGATATTCTCTTGAGATGGTTGATTCTTCTGTCTAGATGGAATCTGTGTGTTTTGATGTCCCTGTTTTAGGAATGTATCTGGGAGATTATCTGCAGAAGAAGCTTTTAGGAGTAGTAAGTTTTCCTTTCTTTTTCTGGGTAATAACTTGAAATTTATATCTCATTTTGAAATATCATTTCTATCCCTGTTTGGCATACAAGAAAATTTGGAAAAAGAGAATCTGAATTCCAAGAATTTCTGCATGTTGTTGTTCTTCTTCCATATTAACCAAATAAACAATCTGTTGATCATTCAAATGGAATCTCTGGGATGAATTGAAGAAGCTGAAAAGCTAAACTGTAAATTCTTTGCAGGGCACCCATGGATTGTAAATGGAGGAGAGAGGAGTTCCATGGAATGAACGAGTCACCTTAAGGAGAGCAGATAGCGGAGTGAGTAGAAGCCACATGTCTGGCTTAGAACTGTACATAGAAAGGCTGGCGTATGAAATCTAGAGGTGTTAAAGGAGACAAGCATGCTCTCCTTCTCCTGTCTTTGGCTTGTACAGAGGACAAAAACCCTTCACGGATCTGTTCCAGAAAACTCCATTTTTGGCAGACCCGTATCTCAAGAGAGACACTCACATGGGTCTCTGCTACCAAGAAGAAAAAGCCCTTTCCTTTTGTCTTCATGTTTTTTGTTTTGGGTAATTCTAATTCTACTTTAATCCCTTCCTCCATTATCATTTTGATTGAGAGAAATGGTAATAAATGATAATTGAAAATTTGAAGTATGGATGTAAGTTTTGGAAAGTATAGAATGTGCAGATAGTGTGAGGAGAAAAAGAAGAAAGAAAAAGGCAGAGTGAGAAGTGAGTAAGATAGCATTTCCCGGCCTTTACTTTTACTTTTTAGGTTTTGGCTTGTTAGAGAAGGGAGAAGGTAGAAAGAGGAGTTTGTACTGCTACTTCTACTGCTACTTTATGAATAAAAGCTATGTTGTTAATGACTATGCTCCCGGTTTTACAGTAACATGATTGCAGATTACATGGGTTTGTCTTTGGATGGAATCATGATACTTTTATTCAAATGTGTATATATATATATATATATATATATATATATATAAATAAAGGGATTCTCTTCTTCCTTCTTCTTCTTCTTCTTCTTCTTCTTCTTCTTCTTATATATATATATATATGTATATGTAGCAAGGCATATTATATGGCATATCCAAACCATTACTTATCTGGGTTAGATTCAAAATGAATTTGATTCAAATTCTATTTCTTTTTTAAGGGTTAAAAATGGATTTGTGTTAAGGGGGTCTTACTCTTGTAAATTTTTAAGAGTTTTGGAACTTGAGTTTGGAATTCAACTCAATCGAAGCTTAAATTAATTGAGTTTTAAATGGAGTTTGGCTCACTAGTCAAGATGCAGACTTGAAAAATGGAGGTCAGATTTCCAGATTTCAAACTAATATATACATACATATATACACACACACACACACACACACACGAGAGAGAGAGAAAAATCAAATGAATTAATCACATGAAAATTAGAACTTGAAATAGAAGTTAAAATGGTATATGCTTGGGTTTAAACCATTCTTGAATCTTGATTTTCTTATTGGAGAAGATTGGAAGAATCAGAAACTACAACCTGTTTGTCAACAAATATCATATATATAATATATATATATATATGTATATGTTCAACTGAACACAATAGACACGTTACTATCTAATTTCTACTTAATTTCTGATGATTCAAAATGTCAAAAATAATTTTCAAAGTGAGAGAGTATACAGTTATAATCATATAATAATATTATAACACTTCACCCAATTTGAGCAAACCGTAGAAAATTTTGTCAAACAAAAAAATAATGTGTACGGGCATGGATCTGAACATTATATGTATATATATATATATATATATGCCATTCATACTGATAGGTGGACCCATAAAAAACATGGTGAAGTACATGCACACCTGTTATATTTCTTGGTATATATATATATATATATATATAAGACGACAAGCTTTTCAATCTACTGACTTTACTGAACTTATATTCAATATTTTTTATGCCCACGATCCATGTTATGTATATATTTGTGTATATATAGGCCGGGTTCTGTCAGTTATGTTCGTGTGTAGGCAAATATGCAGCAGGTTTCATGGTTTCAGGTAGATGGGAAGAAGAGAAGAGAAGAGAATCCGTGATAACTTATCCTCATATAATAATCACATGTGGTCGCCCCCATGATAACTTATCCTGACTCCTCCAGATTCTCCGTTAATTGCGCTTAACGGCGTCAACTTTTAAAATTCCCAGAATATTTAATTCCAAATTTTTTTTTTCCAATATTTAAAATATAAGACATTACATGTAAATATAATTTACATTTTAGTGAGATACTTACAATATGAATAAGAAGAAAAAGATATTTGATAATTAATTAAAAATAAATTTTATAAAAATATTAACATATATTATTATCAGTTATTACACTATATGTATACATGTACGTATAGATATATTTATATATATATATATATAATATGATTGTAGAGAGGCCAGGTGGGGTAGATATAACTAACATCATGTGGCAACTGCAACAATTTAGGGCCTACCCATGTGTTTGCTGAACTTAATTCCAGCATTTTGTGGTCATGGGTCCCAATTTAGTCTCTTTCTATTGTCTTTATATACATATATATATATATATACATATATATAATTATATTAAATTCCATGTGTATTTTAAATTAAATATATTTTTTTATTAAACTGTAATAAATGCAGGGTTTATAATTTATTATTAAATTTTACTTAATTTTGTTACTAATTTTGAACAATAATAATTTATAGAAAATATTATATTGGGCTAATTAATTATATTTTGGAATCTTATTTAAAAATAATAATTATATTTTTGGAATCTAAAGGGTATATTCTTTAGAATATGCTTTTTGAATCCCACAAAACCCGCTATTTACATATATATATATATATATATATATATATGAGGTGTGTAGCTAGGGAGGTGGAATTGATTAAAGTTTAGGAGAATGAAATTTGACCGATTGAGATAAGAAAATAAAGGCGAGAAACAGGGAAATAAACACGGGTTGTGAGAATGTGAGCTTACACATATATATATATATATATACATATTTGTATATACAATT